CATGGAAGGGTCAGGATCTGGTCCTCAAGCATTTGTGAGCTGACCAAGTACTAGTGGCTAATGCAGGGGGTGGGCTCCCCGCTAACTCTGTTCTCTCTTCACTCCATTTCTACAGCTTTGGATAAGGCACAGCAATTGCAGCAACAAATATTTAACAAGTTGCAGAGATGTTACTTTCGTAGCAGAAACAGTGAGACAGCTCCAAGTGTAGCTGCCTGCCAGGGCACTGGCTGTAATAAGGGAGCAATCTCGGCAGTCTTTGAACTTCTCCAGTGGTGAAAGAACAGGGAAGGTTAAGAAATAAAATAAAACAAAGAGCTGAAGCTCATGAGAGCCTCACAGGCAGCCAGGCCAGCAACCCAACCCAAAGGGACATTGCAGGGCACCAGGTCCAGCAACCCCCGGGCGAGGGGATGCTGGGTGGGACGGGGGTACTTACGGTACAGGAGAGCTGACAGACAGGGGCTGAAACGCACGGAGGCTCCCCCAGGCTTGAGAAACTCATTTTGCATGAGCAGAGTGATTCAGGCCAAGTCCATCCCTCACTGGAATATCTTGGAGAGGCTCCTCTGAGTGACCAGCTCCTTATCCCCTAGGGAATGGGAACCAAAACCCCATGGAAATAAATGCCTGTGCCAGCAGGCCGAGGAGGTCAGGGACAAGCCCTGGGCAGGCAGTCACCCATCTCTGCAAGGGCAACCCTGCTGCTCGGGCAGCTCACCCCTGGGGACATTTTGGGACACTTGCCACATCTCATCTCAACCCCTCCTGCATGTCCTTGAGCTGACACCTTTGGGCTGTCCTCGCGTGTCCCCACACAAGGGTTGGGGTGCAGGGTCACCCCACGCAGGAAAGCTGTGGAGAAACCCCTCCCGGGGCAAAGCCGTCAGCAGCACTTCTGCCTGCTGTTCGCTGTGCCAGCCCACTGCGGAGGCAGGTCCTCCTCCCCACCCTTGCACCATTAACCTTGCAGCCCCAAAATAAAAGGTTATAAAAAACTACCAAAGTTCATTACATCCCCTAATGTGACATTTGCATGGGAATGAGCTGGGAGCAATGAGGCAGCTTTCTCCTGTTGAGGAGGGATTCAGGAGGGGGAAGGGGAAGTGCCAGGCATCGGGACCAGGCAAGGGCGGTGGGACTCAGCCCCACAGTGCGATGGGACAGGCACAGAGGTGAGCGGGACAGCAGAGCTGGACGCAGTTACAGCAGAGCCGGAGGGAGCGTCCCAGCAAAGCCCACAGCAACACGACCTCTGGCTCAGAGGCAGCAGGGCCGCTCCTCACCTACAAAAGGGAAAGTGACGGTGGTTTCACCCCAACACCTCCACCACCACACAGCCCACAGTGCCCGGAGGACATGCCCATCCCCAGCAGGCATGGAGAACCAGGACACAGCTGAAACCAAAATGACCAACAGCTCAAGGAAAATGAAATTAAAGCCTGAGTCAGAAGGTGGCAAAGGCAGCAGGATGGTGGAAGTTCAGATGCTGGCCACAAGGACGGGCAGGCAGCTCTGCTGTGTCAGATGCAGGGAGTCACTGCCCACGCGTAAAGCAGCCCCTTGAGTGTTTTATTTGACTGGGCTGAACCGTGAGGGCACAAGGTTTTGGAAGGCACATGGCCCTGTAGGTGTAATTACAGGTTTTTGCACCTTACTTTTACTTTTGATGGAAAATTGGGAGCAATCAGACATTTCAGCTGTGCAAAGCTTCACTAACTGAAAGCCCACCAAAGTCCCAGTCCCTCAGCCCCAAACCCACCAAAATACTCTGTTGTCTGTACTAGAGGTTCGGCCAGGAAGACATCAGACAGCCAGAGGGATGGGGCAAGCATTACCAATGGCTGCTGCATTACCTCCTGCCCCACGGGGTCTGCTTTGTAAAACCCTCCAAGGCCAACAGGGCCAGCTGAGACCAGAGGACGGACAGCAAGACACTCTTCCCAGATCTGTCCCTCCTGGCCTGCAAAGGCCACCACGAGGTGACCAAGAGGTTCATCTCTGGGCCATCACCAGGTGCCCTACACGCAGCAGCGATGCTGCTTGCCAGCCCTGGTCCACCTCCCAGCTTGCCAAGCACCTCCAACTGCAACCTTGGTGGCAGTGGCAGAGTGGGGCCGTGAGACCAGCAGCTCCAGCGCTGGGCTCCGGTCACTTATTTTCTCACCAGACAAGAAGCAGAGTAGGGAAGCAGGCTGACTCCAGGCACCCCAACAGTGGGAAGACTAGGAGCCAGAGGTCCCAAATGGTTACACGTGCTCCTGGGCAAAATGAGCACACACTAAAGCACTCGCATGATCGGTGTCTCATGTCCCCCACCACCACCTTTGGAGCTACCTGGCACTCGTGGCAAAGAAGGAGCCCAGCTGAAGCTGATGGCAACTGGACCCCAGCGTCCTCAGGGAGGCAGGTAGCCACACAGAAGCAGTTCTTCGTTCGGTGGGAGAACGATCCCCCATCACCCTCCTGCAGGGAGGGTCTCGGCAGCACTGGTATAAGGGCAAGCAAGCCCAGCCGGCTGGCTCTCAGGGGCTGGAAACAAAGCCCCACTCAGATGCGCACTCCTGCATATATCAAGAAATGTTGCCTTCCAGTCTAATCATTTCTAATCCTATCTGCAACCTAATTATTAAAAACCTTCTCAACTCAATAGCTGTAAATGCTGCACCAGCCAGGCTTCCCCAGCAATGGTGCCAGGCTGCATTTCCAGCCAGGCAGCAAATCACACCCTGAAACCCTAAGCTCTTTTCTTTAAGAAACACGTGAATGCTCTTACTGTGGCCTGAAAAGCGGGGCAAAGAAACCCAAGAAATATCAAGGACTCACTGTTACTATGCCACTGCGCAATGAACCGAGCCATTGTTCCCTACCTGGGTTAACAACACCTTTCGGAAAACACGAGTGCTTTTCCCAATGTGTTCTTTAAAAAAATGTCAAGACCAAAGCTGCCGGAGGATCGGTGAACAGCTGGAAAAAAAAAAAAAAACAAAAAAAAAAACCAGCTAACAGATTATCCAAAGGTTTTTCACACTTGATCTGTAAACGCTCTTTTATTTAATAAAAATAATCATCCATTATAGCAACTTCTGCTTGTGGTTGGTTTCTTTTTTTTTTTTCTTTTTTTACAGTAAAACACAGTTTATTTGCTTTCCTCACCTCTTGAGGATTCATTTCTGAAAATGCAAGTGAATGTAAACATTGCTCTCCAGGTCCCAGGATGCATCTGGAGTTAATTACAAAGTCAAAAGAGAGAGCAAAATCAACAAAACACTTCCCAAAAGTAAAAACGTACTTTTTTAAAGTCTCTTCCTATGCACCATACAACTCCAGAGAAGGCAAATTCATCTTGTACACAAGACTTACACAAACTTTGCTTTCTCCAAACAATTTCTATGACTTGTCAGTATTTGATAAAGCTATTTTCATAACATTAATAGACTTGCAGATTCATTTATTGTGATGGATCAAAAGTTTTTCCTTTTAATATTCTCTAGAAATTTCTTCATGGCACAAGGACGTTAGATTTGTTATGTCCATTTTCGTATTATTTTTTTAGCAGAAAGAGCTGAAAGACATTTCAGGAAAGGAGTGTAAAAGCAGTGTTAACTCTCCTGCTCCAATCTCACAATATTTACACATTTCTTTTTTTTTTTTTAAAAAAAAAAAAGAAAAACTTAATTACGCTATAAAATACTGGAGAAACTGTCAGTTAAGTTTCCCATTTCGGAGTTTTGCCCTGTATAAGACTGAAAGAAGGATGCTTTCATATTTCCTAGGAAAGATGAGACTGGCAGATTAAAAACTGAACTCTTCTCCGTTAATTGAGAAAGGTGGAACAGCCTCTGCGCACAACCCCCCTCCTCTT